TAGAGCTTAGGAAGAGAGAAACAATTAGTTCTCCCCTTCAGGGTATGAGCTCCGCCTCCTCAACCTTCCTTTCAGTTCCTTTTTTTCCACCATTCGTGTCGGACGTTTGGAACGCTAGAGCGATTAAGGGAAGCCTGTTAGCTTTGCTAATTTTTTTTTTTTTTTGCTTAAATATTGTTTTCTTTTATATAGCTTTGATACCTTTGGTTTTCCTTTTACTTGGTTCTATCGCTTTTTTTTCTCCTTCCCACCTTCCCCCCCCTCAACGTTTTTTCCTTTTTATTCCCTCTTGTTTTATGGCCCCTAGGGGCTTCAAAAAGTATTCAGTTTGTTCTCGCCAAATCCTTCGCCAAATCCTTCTTACAGAGGAGCACGATCTTTGTTTGTTTTGCCTGGGGGGAATTCCACCAGACCCAGTCATGCACTGCTTGCAGGAGTTTTTCAAAGCAAGCCACTAAGCTTTGGCTGCAACGTCTAAATCCCTCCACAGAGGCTACAGCCCTTTCTGCTGCAAGCGCTTCTCGTCAAGAGGCTGCGAGATCCGCTACCAGCCCTACTGACCAGTCCTTACTCAGCACGACTTCTCTACCGGTTAACTCTAAGAACTCTAATAAACCACTTAAGTCTGCTGCTACTAAAGCTCAACCATGGTTGACTAAACCTGCTAAAAAGAATAAGGACAAACCTAAGGGGAAAAAGAGAGATGGCCAAACCAGCTACTCTTTCTATGGTTGCTATGCCAGTACAAGATTCTGCAATGGACGTTGTTGGGCTATCGGACAGGGAGGATCATACTTTACCTCCAGCCCAAGAGGCTCATGAGATCCTGAGCTTGTCTCCAACTTTGGGCCGTTTTGAGGCTGTCGCACCGTCCAGCCTGGCCATTGCCCAGTTTAGCCCTTGTTTACCAGGGCGGGCTGATACCGAGACTGAATTGGAACAGGAGTCTGCCCCATGCACTCCTAGAAAGAAAAAGGAGAAACGCAAGCATGCCTCTCCATACCAGCCGTCAGAGCTTGAACAGCAGCACTACCATCCAGAGGGTCCACCTCAATATGGTTATCCATATCAAGAACGATACCAGCCTTTTCCATACCAAGGCTTTGGATACCATGATCAATACAGAGGATTGGGATATCAGCCACGGTACCCTCCTGCACCTCAGATTCAAGCATCTTTCCAGCTACAAGGGCATCTATCCACCCCCCAAGGTCCTCCATCCCGAAAGAGACTGATGGGACTGACACTGCCTGTGCCTGCCAAACGACCTAAGCATCACAGGAGCCACCCTTCAGTACAGGCTGCTACGCTATACTCTGGTCCTCATGACCATGATACAGAGCCCTTTTCAGCTTCTATTCAATCGGATGCTGAGCCTTTACTCCCAGCACGAATGAGTCTGAAACATGATACCAGTACCGCTGGCAGTCTTCCACAGTTACCTTTGGAGAACTTCACCTCATATGCACAACTTATCTTGCGCATGGCCAAGACATTAAAACTCAATACGCAGATTCCACAACAAGAAGTGGACCTAGTCTTTTATGATATGGAGCAGGACAAAACACCTCCTCCTAGTCTGAGCCTCATACCAGCACTCCTAACTCTGGTTAAAAATTCTTGGGACACATCACCTTTAACTCTTCAAATTCAGCGGATTGAACACCATTACAAGACTCCTGGGTCAGATTCGGACTTTCTGATTAAACATCCAGTGCCTAACTCCATTGTGGTTGAGACTACACAATACAAATCACGTAGCAGATCATCCACCACACCTATGAACAGAGAAGGAAGCAAAATTGATTCCTTTGAGAAGAAACTTTACTCCCTAGCAGCACTGCTTATCAGAATCTCTAATTACCAAGCTGCAATGGGCGCCTACCAAAGACACCTGTGGGACAGAATCCTTCCCACCCTTCAAACACTTTCAGAGCCATTAAAAACTCAGTACCTATGCTGAAGCTAAAACTATCGCTAAGCAGCAAAGACAGGCAGTGGAGCATACTGCTGACACTGCCTCCAAGTCACTTCTTACCTCCATAGCAGTCAAGAGACATGCCTGGCTCAGGGCAGCAAACATCATGGACAATACCAAGGCTAAAATTGAGGACCTCCCATTTGAGGGTACAGGACTCTTCAGTTCTAAAACTCATGATACAATGGAGAACATTCATAAAATGAGAAAAACAGCCAAGTCTTACATCCCATATCAGCCTTACAGATACCAGAAACCACCTTACAAAAAGCCATTCTACCACCAGCCTTCTCAGTACCAGCCCTTTCGGTACAGCAAGCAACAACAGCATGAGCACGCTTACCAGCCGCCTCAGTCTAACTCAGCACAGTCTACCTCAGCACAATACCAAGCTCCCAGACAGCTTTTTTGTAAACCCCAATGCAGGGGTAAGCAATATTCTTGAATACTCTGGTACCACCACAAGACTGTACCCATTCCTTCCAGAATGGAAAAGGATAACAACAGATAATTGGGTTCTAGCCATCATTGAATGTGGCTATTTCATTGAGTTTTTTTGGAAAAAAAAACCCTGACAAATTCCATCAGGCCCACCCCTTTTTCCTTACCTCTACAGGAGGAAATTTCATCTCTACTGAGAAAGGGGGCAATAGTCTTGGTACCACCTTCGAACTCAAGTGGGGGCATCTTTTCTTGTTATTTTGCAGTCCCTAAGAAAGATGGGGGTATTAGACCCATCATGGACCTTAGACAACAAATACATACTTTATCAAAAATTCCGCATGTTAACTCTTGATTCCATTCTCCTTCTTTTATCTCAGGGGAACTGGTTTGTCACCATTGACCTGAAGGATGCTTAATTTCATATCTCCATCCATCCGTACCATCAGAAATTCCTCAGATTCAGGTTTCAAGATACCACTTTCAAGTTTGTTGTTCTCCCATTCGGGCTCTCTACAGCCCCCAGGACAATTACAAAATGCATGGCTCCAGTTGTGGCATACCTCCGTACCAAGGGGATGAAGCTCTTCCCGTACATCGACGACTGGCTCCTGGTTGCCAAGACCTACCAAAGCGCCATAACAGCCACAAACACCACTTTCCGTGTCCTACACAATCTTGGCCTGCAGATCAATCAAGAAAAATCCAACCTGGTACCATAAGAGCTCAAGAGCTACATAAGAGCTCAACTAGATTCCAGTCAGGCAAGAGCCTTCTTATCGTCAGAAAGAATAACAAAAATCAGCAAAGCCTTACAAGATTTCCAACCTCTCGGGACTGTCACCGCCCTCAACATCCAACATCTGCTGTGACTCATGGCTTCCACTACATGGTTCCCCATGCAAGGCTCAAGTTACACACACTCCAATCCTGGTTCCTCTCCCAATTCGACCCTTCAACAGACACACTGTTGAAGAAGATACAGGTACCGCCATATGTGGCACACCAACTTACCTGGTGGGCTCTTGCCCCCAACCTCCTGGTTGGCAGAGCATTCACACCTCCTTCCCTGTCTATCCAAGTGACAACGGATGCCAGCCCCTCGGGATGGGGAGCTCACTGCCAAGAGCTCCGGGCACATGGACTGTGGTCAGAAAGGGAAAGAACCCTTCACATAAATCATCTGGAATTACTGGCCATCATAAAAGCCTTCCAGTCCTTCATTCCCAGGCTACAGGGAAAAGCTGTACAGCTTGTAACTGACAACACCACTGCCATGTACTATATAAATCAACAAGGAGGAACCCAATCACTACCCCTCCTTCACCTCACCATAGACTTTTGGGAGTGGTGTTGCACCCACCATATCGTCCCTCAGGCGATCCATATCTTATCAGAGGACAACTTCCTCGCAGACCACCTAAGCAGGCTCCCCACCAGGATGCACGAATGGTCCCTCAATGACACTGTCTTCCTAGACATCTGCCGCGGATGGGGTCAACCCACAATAGACCTTTTTGCCTCCCAGCTCAATGCAGAGTGCCCCAGATACTGCTCAAGAGCAGGCTCAGACATTGCATCTCTAGGAGACGCCTTCATGATACCACTTAACTTCTCATTTTCACTCCAGAGACTATGTAGATTTATTTCTACTATAGGTGGATGTTTCCATAACACCTTGGTCCGGAGAACTTACCTACCTCTTCCCTCCGATACCAATGTTACTCAAATCAATAACCTGGATAATCCAGTGCAGAACAGATGCAATCCTCATCGCCCCATGGTGGCCGCGACAGCCATGGTTCGCTTACCTCAGAGAGATAACAGGAACTGTTTCACTTACTGGCAATTCTGTCTCTCCTCTCCCAGAACGACGGAGCTTCCTCCATCCCGATGTTCGGTCCCTGCACCTGACAGCCTGGAGGATAACCCAGAATTCACTGCAATCCTAAATCAGGCTCGAAAACCATCCACCTCTCGCATATATAGCAATAAATGGAAATCCTTTCTAAAATTCGCTGAATCTAAGGGACTCACCTCAGTCCCATCATCTCTTTCAACTATGCTTACCTTCATCTTACATCTCTTCAACCTTGGTCTAGCACATTCTACCATTAAAGTTTACATCACATCAGTAGTAGCTCACTAACCTCCTGGATCCAGCTCCACTAAACTCTTTGTATCATACCCCTCATGTCTTATGTGCTGCTGCAGCTAATATTAGGAAGGACTAGTTTAAAACACAAATGAACAAGACAGTAGGGATCAACTTAGTGGGGTTTACTAGACTATGAGTTAAAATTAAAATGAGGATGTAGGCCACTTGAGCCCCTGGGAATGTTTGGTCATCACTGATTATGTTTTTAATCAGGAGTGGGGAATTGAAAGAGGGGATATGGGCAGAAACTGGGACTTGAAGAATTTACAACCCAGCTGAAGTTTTCAGCTATTATCCATCATTTTGGATACAGCAGTAACTTTGCATAAGGTATATTATCAAAAGGTAGAAAATGATCCCCACCAGGATGCACACAGAAATAAGAATCAGTCACAGAAATAAGATTTCACTAATGTGTTTTAGTCTTTGTTACAGAGTTTGTCCCACTGTGAACTGATCACTGATGATGGGATTCTGCATCTAAGCAGCAGCACATGTGGGCATGAAAAGCTCCAGGTACTCGAGTTGGACAACTGCCTTCTAATTACGGATATCACTCTGGAACACCTTGAGAACTGCCACAACTTAGAGAGAATTGAATTATACGACTGTCAGCAAGTCACCCGTGCAGGCATCAAAAGAATAAGAGTAGGTACCATATGACTGTACTGAGATTCAGTGTTTATGTGTTATTATTTCTGGGTAGTTCCTGTTACATATCAGCGCTGTGCATTGAAACTTAATAAAGTGTCTACTTCAGGTATTTCAAAATAAAGAAACACATTCAACATTCAAGTAAGCTCTAGCTATTTAAATTCTTGAATGTGCTGAACATAATGGGCCAGTAAAAGAAGCAGTGTGACATTCCCTTTTTCTAGGTCTTTGGTAGGAGTTTTTGGGAAATGCCCATTGCTTAATTTTTTCAGAAATAACTATCAAGGGTCAGGATGATAACTGGGTACACTGCTTTTGTTGTACACTTTAGTTGCCCTAGTTCATCTATTTAGAACAAAGACTGTGAGACTGGCCGAGAGATTGTTGCTGGTTAACATAGGGTATTTGGTTGATTTCACAGAATTATAGAAAAATGAAGTTGGAAGGGGCCTACAAGGCCATCAAGTCCAACCCCCTGCTCAGTGCAGGAATACAATCAAAGCATATCTGCCAGGTGATAATCTAAGTTTTTCTTGAATGCCCCCAGTGTTGGAGCACTCACCAACTCCCGAGGTAACTGGTTCCACTGTCGTACTGCTCCAACAGGCAGTTTTCCTGATATTCAACTGAAAGCTGGCTTCCTTTCACTTGAGCCCATTTGTTGTGTGTCCTGTACTCTAGGATGATTGAGAACAGATCCTTCCCCTCCTCTATGACTGCCTTTCAAATATTTGAAAAGTGCTATTATATCACATACACACAGCCAGTCTTCTTTTCTCAAGGCTAAACACGCCCAGTTCTTCCAGTCTTTCCTCATAAGGCTTGGTTTCCAGCCCCCTGATCATCCTTGTCGCCCTCCTCTGAACTTGTTCCAATTTGTTAGCATCCTTTTTGAAGTGTGGTGGACACAATACTCAAGGTGAGGCCTAACCAGGGCTGAATAGAGGGGCACTAGCACCTTGTGGGATTTGGAAACTATACTTCTGTTATGCAGCCTAAAATAGCATTAGCCTTTTTTGTAGCCACATCACACTATTTAGCTTGTGATCTATGACAATTCCAAGATCCTTCTTGCTCGTAGTTTTGCTGACCCAGGTATCTGTGCAATTGGTTTCTTTTTCCAAGGTGCAATACTGTGCACTTATCCCTGTTGAATTTCATTGCTTTTCGCTGGTCATGTTTTGGAGATTAACTGAAACAGGGTATTTTGGGATATGGTTTATGAAAACTCTTGTAATGACCATTTTTGCTAGTCTTGTAGGAATCAGCCCTAGTGCAATGCCATCTTAATATTGTAGAACTGCCAAACCACGATTCATCACAAAATTTTAACTCTTTCTGTCCCCACATGAGCTAGGTTAAGAGAAACTATTGCATAGTCATACTGAAACCAATTTAAATCACATTTCTGATTTATAATAAGGGCAAGGGTTAAGCACAACATCAATGCAGGTGGAACATTAAACTGTAATAGTCTCCAAAACTAAAATAGAGGAATGCTAGGCACACCAGCTAAGCCACGTTTGGTACTGCTTGGTCCAAACCAATTCATGGTATATTTATTTTCTGGACAAACAGAGCAGGTTTAACAACACTGAATACTTTATTTTACTAATTGCTTTAGCCTTCAAAATTGTCACTCCCTTTTCATGAACTTCATATGCTTAATGTGTAGCTTGCTGGTTCTTCTGTTTTCCTCCGAGACCATCCCCCCACAAAAAAAAACCAGAGAAAAAGTTAAACTCTCCATAGAAGCAGTTACCTTCCCTTTTTCCTTAGGGCAAGATATTTTGCCAGTAGCATTTCTTTTGCCTCTGATTAGACCGTTTCCCATATATAGCCCTATGAAGGACGGACAGTTCTTATCATCTCCAATTTTTCCACCTAACAATGAACCCCAAGTATACAGTAACCCATCCTTCAGAAGTAGTCCCATTTTGATCCCGACGGTAAACAAAAGACCAGCAAAATCTTTACTAGAAACAGTTATTGTGTACAGTGGTGCCTCACTTAACGGCGATAATCCGTTCCAGGAAAATCACTTTTAAGCGAAAACATCATAAAGCGAAAATAAAAACCCAATTGAAACGCATTGAAACCCGTTCAGTGTGTTCCAATGGGGTAAAAACTCACCGGCCAGTGAAGATCCCCCATACGGCAGCCATTTTCGCTCCCTGTATAGTGAGGAATCCGTCCCTAAACACAGCGGGGAGCCATTTTAGTTAGCTGGTGGCCATTTTGAAACCGCTGATCAGGGAACCGATCGTCGCAAAGCGAAATTCTCCCATTTAGACCATCGTTTTGCGATTGCAAAAAGATTGTTATAAAGCAGATTCGTCGTAATGCGGGGCAGTCGTAAAGTGAGGCACCACTGTATTTGATTGGTTAGCAATTTTAAGACAGGGATGGGCAAGGAGTGGGCCTCCTTACGTTCCTAGATTGCAATGTCCAGTATTTTTCAATGTTTGCTATGGGACCTAGGGCGGCTAGGAGTTGCAGTCCACAAACAACAGGAAAGCTGCACTTCATCCACCTGTGCTTTAAAGTATTATTACAAAACTGAGATGTATGTGCTTTGGGGAGGGATGACTTGAGATGCTTTGCAGCAGTGTTGTTTAAACATTGGTCTTCTGTGCTTTCACACTAATGGGGTATGAAAGAGATGGCTCTGCACTTGCATCAGTATGAAGGCACAGAGATCATGAAAAAGACTTTTATTTAGTATCTTAGAATGTAAGATAATAAAGCCAGAGCTTTAAGATTTTATTAGTAATTAATTTTTGTCTGTAGGCTCAACTGCCAGATGTGAAAGTCCACGCATACTTTGCTCCAGTAACTCCACCTCCTTCTGTAGGAGGCACCCGACAGCAACTCTGCCGCTGCTGCATTATTCTTTAACTGATGAAGAATTGCACTGCCAATGTTTGCAAATGGGAAGAGGGAGTAAGGCATCCATTGTCAACCTATGCTTTTTTAAACTAATTCAGCTACGTCAATCATTATTCTAGTGCAGCATTACAGGTAATATCTTAGGCAGATACAGAACAACAGTGGCACCTTGACCAATGTCTTATTCTAGAATTTCTGTGGTTGCTGTGCCAACATCCTATCTAATGTGCAGATAGTATCAAACTGATTGATTCTGCTGGCTTACGAGATTAAATGCCAACAAATGGAATGCCACTACTATATAAGTATTGGCTAGTCAATCAGCATGGAAAATTTCAGGAGATGTTAGCAAATGTTCTGAACTGAACAATTCTTCGGAAAATTGTCAGTTACATGTATGTGTCATACTTTCAATCAGATACCTTATTAATCCTGTTAAGAAAGAGAGCTTTTGCTGTACAGGGGAAATTCTGGAGGCTGTTTCCAAAGGGCACTTATAAACAAATTGCTAAACCAATTCCTGAAAAGTTTAAAAAAAAAGACGATTGCAAAAAAGTATTGGCCAAAATCCTGTTGTAGGATATACCACGAAGACTAACAATGTAAAAAACAAACAAAACAAAAAAATTTCTGATCTCGCCCTACAAAATCCTGAGCCTCCTGTGGAATCCCCTTCATCATCAGAAAGTCTTTGGGCTGCCACAGGTCAGGAGTAAAATCTTAATTACAGATGATCCAGTAGCAGCAATTTTCTGGAAAAATAGCCTCCTGACAATGAAAAGGAATCCATAGGAGGCCTGGAAACTTCAGGGGAGAAATTGGTCAAATTACTGCACCTGATGGCATCATTAGCCTTTATGGTGTAACCATTTCAACCATTGTATTTTCCTATACTTTGCCTGGGGGCGGGGAGGGAATAAGCAATTAAGAAATTTGTATGATTCAAGCTACATTGGAGGTTGAGTAGCTTTGACCCTTGTGGGTATTGACACTGAATCCAGTGCTACAAATGCAGAATACTAAAGTGTTACTTTGAGTACTTCACTTGTATTGTCTGAGTACCTCAGTATTCTAGAATAGTCTCTCATTATGACAGCACAAGTTCTTTCTAACAATATCTAAATGTGAGATCTGTCAGATTATTGGAAAACATTTGTTCTGAATATTAGGAAGAAATTGAGCTTGGTGGTGGACAATATTGGTAATTATAGGCCCGTTGCCAATGTTTCTTTCCTCAGCAAGGTAGTTGAGAGGGTGGTGGCCAATCAGCTACAGGCTCTTCTGGATGAAACCAGTGCCCTGGATCCATTCCAGTCGGGCTTCAGGCCGCACCATGGCACAGAGAAAGCATTGGTTGCCCTGTTTGATGACCTGCTGATTGAGGCCGACAGGGACAAAATGTCTCTGCTGATCCTTCTTGATATCTCAGCCGCTTTTGATACTGTTGACCACAGTATCCTTCTGGGGAGGCTCTCCGAGTTGGGAATTGGTGGCCTGACTCTTGCCAGGCTCAGTTATCTCTCCAATGCTGTTTAATATCTATATGAGGCCGCTGGGAGGAGTCATCAGGGGATGAGAGGCTTCGTGTCATCAGTACAGTATGCTGATGATACTCAGCTCTACATCTCCTTTTCTCCAACAACAGTGGATGCTGTATTGTCCCTTGAGCACTGTCTGGGGGCTGTTCAGCAATCGATGCAGAACAGAATGAGGCTGAATCTGGGCAAGACGGAGGTCCTTCGGGTGGGTGCCTCAGACATCAGTGGTCTGGGAATCTCTTTTGGGGTAACTCAAATCTAAGTGTGTAAGTCAAGTCAATATTTTCCTATGAGAGTGGTTCTTAAGTCAAAATGTTCTTAACTCAAGGCGTTCTTAAGTCAAGACTCCACTGTATGCTGATGATACTCAGCTCTACATCTCCTTTTCTCCAACAACAGTGGATGCTGTATTGTCCCTTGAGCACTGTCTGGGGGCTGTTCAGCAATCGATGCAGGAGAACACAATGAGGCTGAATCTGGGCAAGACGGAGGTCCTTCGGGTGGGTGCCTCAGACATCAGTGGTCTGGGAATCTCTCTTTTGGGTGTGTGTGTGTGACTTACCACCAAGAGTGAGGTTTGCAGCTTGGGTGTACATCTGGACCTGGCACTCACCATGGAGACCCAGGTGTCGTCAGTGGTCCGTTCTGCACACTTCCACCTTCAGCGGATTGCCCAGCTGCGTCCCTAACTTGATGTCGGGGCGCTCACCACTTTGGTTCATGCCCTCGTAGTCTCAAGATTAAGACTACTGTAATGCGCTCTACGTGGGGCTGCCTTTGAGATTGACACGGAAATTTCAGATGGTACAAAACGCGGCGGACACGGAAACTTCAGATGGTACAAAATGCGGCAGCCAGACTTACTGGGGTGAAGAGGCACCACCATATTTTCCCCACGCTGGCCAACTTGCATTGGTTGCCCATTCGTTTCTGCGTTGATTTCAAAGTTCTTAAGATTACTTATAAAGCCCTAAATGGTTTAGGACCTCGATACCTAGCAGAGGGCCTTCTCCCACCCGGTTCTGCCAGAGACACTTGTTCTAGCCAGGCTGGGCGATTGAGGGGCCTAACGCCAAGGGAGACCCAGAAGGAAAGAACAAAGAACTGAGCGTTCTCAGCAGTGGCCCCTCGCCTCAGGAGCAACTTGCCCATAGAGATCCGCCTGGCTCCCTCTCTGGGTGGCTTTAGAAATAAACTTAAGACATGGCTATTTAGGCAGGCTTTCCCTCCTGCTGGATCTTAATATTTACATTTTCACATCTTGGATTTTTGCATGTCTATTGGTTCTATTGTTTTTAAATTTTAATGCCGCCCAGAGTAATTCATCTAGATGTGTGGGGTATAAATCTAATAAAATAAATAAAATAAAAAATAATTTGAGCATAACATAATGTGATCATAAACAAAAAACACCTGTTTCATGCACTTCTGTCTCAGCTATTTGGCACTTGCGAAGAAATGATAGCACAGAGGTTTATGTGCTGTTGCTGATGATACTTCTTGTGTACTCTTTCAAGTATCACTGAGCAGATTTTGTGAAGATGATGTACTACAGGAAGATGAACTGTGGCATGCTGTTTGGAGACATTGCAACTCTCTCACCTTTGGCCGTTGATGACATATCCAATTTCATACTTATCATACATCAGCCATTGTCTGCAGTTGTTATGTATAGTTGTTTTGCCCAAATATGATGCCAGACAATGGTTACAAACAAACAATAGACTATCAAATTCAGGTTTGTCTGCTTCCTGCCTCCAGCAGAGCTGCACGGAGATTAGAAGCATTCACTTCCATTTTTAATTAGCATTATGTCCAGATCCTAAACTGTGGTTGATTTTATCTGTGGTTTAGTGAAACACAACAGGTTAATGAACTGTGCTTTGAAGTCATCTTGTTTCAGCACACAGGAATTAAGAATAATTGACCCATGTTAGGATATTAGGGTAACTTGAACATTTAACTGCCCACGTTGATGCTATACTGTGCTAAGAAACATTAAGAGAACAGGCAAATAGAAATAAGATTCTGATTCTCCTGATTTTGCTAGAAGGGAGGAGGGAACTGCGTATTCAACAGTAAACCATAGTTTAATATTGCATTCACATGCAGCCAAGATCATCGCTGAAATTAAAAACATGTTTAGTCCTCAATAATCTACTGAAAGTTTTTTTTTATGTAAGGGAGTAAGTTTTTTAAAGTCTGAACTGGGAGATATGGGCACACATATGCAGCCAATTTTTCTTTAAGACAAAAAGGGCATATGAAATCTGTAAAAATCATGGATTACAGCATTTCAAGGTTTCATTAACTTTTTAGAACAGTTTAGCAGAACTGAACTCAGACTCACTGTTCTGCCAAAAAAGTGAATATATCAATTTCTTGAAAAGGCATTACTAGAAATGAACAACTTTATATTAATGTTCAAGTATTTATAATAAACATTACATGGAGGATATGTATTATTACATTGTTAACATGCATAGATTCCTTCTGCTGTAGAATATTTTACAGCAATACTCTATAAGCATGTTTGTCCACTAACTTGTTGAGAAATATATTGTCAAACAGTTGTTTTTATATGTTTTACTTTTGTAAGGTCAAGTATTTATGAAATTGTTTCATCAAATACTTTGGTACAGGCACTATTTAAATAAAAGCATCCATAGTTATGCTACTTTCTATTATTTTAAATACAACTGCCAGTTATAAATGACATCTTGTATTGGCACTAAACATCAATTTGATGTAGGCATCATTCTCACTTTTGGGATCTGTTAATAGTATGAATGAACATGGTGTAACTGGAAATGGTGGAATTTTTCTTTCCTAGATGGTATCTCAATATTGTCTACATGTCCTGGATTAGTTTCTAGAAGACAAAAGTAAACTTCAGGAAGAGTACTTAAAATATTATTGGAAAATGTTTTTACTGAAATTGAAATGCATACATCTTATTTAAAATCAAAAGCAATTTGCTGGTTCCATTCATTAAATTCAAAGTGAACCAAACTACTGTACAGCTTTGAGTGACATTTTTCAATAAAAGATTCTTCACAAATTGGAAAAACAGTGCTGAGATGACACATATCAGTTGAAAACACCCAAATACAGCTAAAAAATAATTTATAGGCAAGAACCACTCAAAACAGTTCATGCTCACAAACTCTATTCTCCCTTCCCATCAGTGCAGAACAGTTTAGGTCATGGGGAGTGGGAGGGAGCAATCACGCATCCTAATGCCTGTAATTAAACAATTTTTCAGAATAATTAGACTTTAAGCACTTAGCCTAGCATAATTAGAAATGGGAGTGAAATTAAAAACAGTATTTGACATGCTTCTTTTTCTGTTAAGGTGTTCACGTCGTTTCAGCTATTTGAAAAAGCTGCCTTCTCCGTTAAAACCTCTCCAAGTAGCTGTATTGATACACAAACCAGAACAGACATAAACATCTATTCTTGGAAGCATTATCTGGTTATCAGGTTAACATTTAAAGACATTTTTGCAGTTCATTCAATAAGCTATGCAACTGCTAGTCAAGTATTTGGTTGTATGGAAGAGGCACTGTACCTATGGTCTTTCCGAGAGAGTGGAAGAAAAAGAAAAGAAATCAACACTTTACACCAGAAGTGATAATGTGAGACCGCAAGTCTGTGGATGAAAGATGAACATTTTAATATTTGATTGTTTTTTGGGTTTTTTTGCTTTAATCCTTCAATATTATCTTTGTGACCTTTTTTCACAAGGACATCTTAGCATGGAACTGCAAGAGTGCTTTGTTGATGAACTTAAAGACACTATAGACAGGTATATTGTCTCCAATGGACCTGTTGCAAATCAATATTGTAGCTCAATGGGTTTGTTCTGATTCTCTCTTAAGTTATTATAAATTCTGCTGCATACTTAATGTCGTCTGGCTAGGACTTTAGTAAAAAGTCCAACTCTTGACATTTACACTTCTTACATTCACGCTTATACACAATTTATACAGAGGATGCTGCTCTGACAGCTTTACTCTCAAGACCCCAAACCTGATTGCTATCATCTTTACTACTTTATCTCCACACAAATTACTATGTGCTCTGCTAACATCAAAAAATAAAATCAGCATACAGGTACAAGCAAATAATAGACAAACTGGCACAGAAAGATAAATGTCCAGAAGAGGTTTACATTCAGACTGGATACAGTATAATAGGAAAGCAATACTGCTTCTAGAAACTGCATCTACTGGCCATAGCTTGCCTTATTTTTTCAGAGAAAGGGAAACATCTTTGTTTTTTTCATGCCTGTATGCAAGCTGTCACGGCATTTATACCTCTTATGAGGACATTTGGCTATGGCAGTGGTAAGTTCATCTACTATAGCTCATTAGAAAGGACATCTTGCGTTTTCAATATGAAACATTCTATATGGTGAAGTCAGATCCCTGAAGAGACTGGATGTTATTCGTCATTCTTGAGCACAACTTCATTCTGTACTGGAGAGTCAGTCCATTACATGTGTGGCAACATCACTTCAAAATTATATGGAAGCCTTCACCATTTTCAGCTATAGAAGGAAAAAGTGATAATTCAAAAAGGAATCTCCACATACTAAAACATTTCATAATAGCCCACATAAAATATCAATTTAAATTTTTTACAAGTGAACAAAAATGCTGAACTCTGCAAACTGGATAATCATGGTTCAGGGAAGAGATACAGAGTAATTAACACAATTTGCCCTCCTAACTAGGCCCCTCTGCATCTGCTGTAGTATGTGAAGTACTGAAGGGTGCAAGGGGAAACAGGAGCCACCTCTGGATCTAACCCAAGAATTTCTTATGGCCATAAAAACATTACAAAACTCAAGTAACTTTTTGGAAACAGCTTCTAGGACCCATAAAATTGCACTTCAAGATCCTGAGATCAATTGTTTTGTGGTTTCTGGACTTGCAACTTCTGCATTCTGTTTTAACAAGCCAGATTAATACCTTGAAATCTGGTTTAGAACAATTAGGATGTTGGAATGAGCACCGCAGAAGCCAAGGTTGTGGCTGACACTGTTACTGATAGCAATTTAAACAAAAAGTGACAGTCAAGAGCTCCTTAAAACAGGCACCTGGGCATTAAAATGGCAAGAGAGTGTCAATGTAAGCATGCACTTCTTGGGACAAAAGAACTCTGGCCAGTATCTTGTGGGCTGCAAATGTGTTGCACAACAGTTTATTCAATGCACATTTCCCCTTTCCCCACCAATCATGCAAGCGGGAATCCACCAATCACTTGTGGAAGCAGAACTCTTGCTTAAAGCAAAAAGTTTCCTGAAAGGATGTTTCACTGCCCATAAGGCCCTCCACAGGGGCGCCTCCCAAAGAACTACCCTCCCAACCCAGGAAGCCTTGTAACTTCCAAATAGCACCAGGATAGTTTCCTTGTTTTTGAAAGTCAAAACAGGCTGAGGAAACTATCAGTAGAGGTAAGGAAAACTGGTCTGTAGCATTGTTTTGGGCCTGTGTCTTCCAGAATTCTGCCAGGAGAATTTTTGGCAAATTCTGAAAGTTGGCATTTTAAAAATCCTAAACTCTTATCCTTGTGGTCACTTCACATATATGCCAAGAGATCTGAACTTGTAGTGACTAATCAAAAAAGGAATTGTGGAAGTTTGAGTTAACAACTCACTGAAAATGTTTTAGTGGCTGTGAAGAATACTACTCCCATGCTGTGAGTCATTAAGAAAAATGTAAAGAACTATTAATGCCTTTATAAAAATCTAATGTGATCATTAGATTGACAATGCAGTGAAGAGTTCTAATCACCCACAGATTGTAGACTTCCAAGGTGCAGAATAGGTTACCTAGAGCCATGGTCCCCAATCTTGGGCTTCCAGATGTTCTTGGACTGCAACTCCCAGAAGCCTTCACCACCACCTCTGCTGGCCAGGATTTCTGGGAGTTGAAGTCCAAGAACATCTGGAGGCCAAAGGTTGGGGACCACTGACCTAGAGGAAAGGTTGAAGGGGCTGAACCTACTCCTCTTTGAGAAACATTTAACTTTCTCTACCCAAGCCAACCATTGGGGAAAAATGCAGGGCTTGATTGTCCTTTGATCTGACCCAGCATAGTGGTTCTTATGTTAAATTAACAATTTGTAAAACAGATATTTTTCTCCTAAGGCCTAGGCTTTAATGTTCATATTGATTTCTGATAATCTACCACAAGTCAAGCAAGTTCTGCACTAGAAGTAGGAGGGGACAGATAGTCCTGAATTCTAGTTTTATCAGTCTCTCTACTTTGTCCCCAAATCAGAACCTCCATCTTACCAGTTACAAACCACTGTCCTGGTGCAACCACAACACAACACTCCTGAAGTACTTTCCCTGTATTTTCCTTGTGGTTTAGTTTAGTTTCTTCCCATAGGGGACTCAAGGCAGCTCACAATCAGTTAAAACAACACAACAGAAAAATACCATAAGATATATTAGTAAGAAAGACATAACGATATTAAAACCCCGCCAAGAGACCTTTGGGTAGAGTGGGTGGCATATAAGCTAAATTAAACAAACAAACAAACCACTAATGGTGTCCAAGAGGGGGGAAAACATGTTTTTTCCAACCTCAGATATGTCAAGAAGTTCAAACACTAACTTTAAACTACTACAAATCAAGAATTTGTTCCCTTAATTGACCTGACACAGCCACTGCACCATATGTTCAGCTTGTACTCATCCTGAAAGAGAGGTACTTAGTGGTTCCTATAGTAAAAATAATTAGAACTTAGTAATGACATTCCATCTCATTAAATAATGTTCAATATTACATAAAAATCATGAACTAAAAAACCCACACACATTTCAGAAAATGTGAGAAACTGAAACCTCTTCTTGTGTAAAAGCAATTGCGTTTTTGATTTTGCTTGTTTTAACATTGTGAGCTATCTTGAGTCACCTCATCAGGAGAAGGTGGCCTACAGATGACACTAAATAAATAAAAGCAAAATATACCAGCTCATACAGCAGACCCCCTTATATTTGTGGGATTGTTATTCATGGGTTCATTTATCCAGTTTACAGGAGCTTTATATACAATATACAAGGGCATCCTCTTGTGGCTTTGTCCTGCCCCTTTATATGTTGTATATAGAGTTACCTCATAGTCATGGTTTCAGGCATCCACAGTAGATTGTGGAACCAATCTCCCATGGCTATGGCAGTCCTACTGTAATTCTCGATTTTTCTATTTTCATTATTACTAGCATACCTTTTATTGTGGTGACTAAGAAACAACTCTCATCTTCAAAGTTCTGAACCATCTAGAGAGAAAAAAAGATTGAAAATAGGATGTGCAGCAATGTACCAGTTTCATGTATCACATATAGTTACTGCATGGGAACAAAATGTGACAGTGATAATGGCTGTACCCAAAAAACAGTAGCTAAAATATTGTTGCTTAGCACAATAAATGGCACTAGAGTAGAGCCACTGAATCAATGGGGATTTGGCAAGTCAACTGCTCTGTAAGCTCCACTGATTTAAACAGGCCTAAGACAGGAGGGCCTGGCGTGCTCTGGTCCATGGGGTCATGAAGAGTCAGACACGACTTAACGACTAAACAACAACTCCTCTAACAGACTTAGTTCAACACAACAATTTGCAATTAGAGTAGGCCCAACTGAATCAATAGAACTTAGAATAGGTGACTCACAAAATACACATTGATTCAATGGGCCTACTCTAGTGCATGGCCCAAGGGGGGGGGGCTTCTTTAAATACAGGTATGTTTGCATGGGCATTTTGCTGAGGAGTTTGTTTTGCTGGGCTTTTGTTCTCCCTCATGGCATGGCCCAAGGGGGTGGGCTTTCTGTTTTAAATGAGGGTGTGCCAGGACCCTGGGCCCTTTTCCCTAGGAGGCTGGGCTGAGGCTGAAGGCCAGGTACGTTTGCATTGACATTTTGCTGAGGAGTTTGTTTTGCCAGGCTTTCTTTTGTTCTCCCTTGCTGCATAGCCCAATTCTCTGATTCAATTTCTGACCCTAATATGGTAAATAGAAAGCCAATTAGCATTGCATACACCTGGGAGGCAGGATCATACTTTCACACTATTAGAGAGCAGGCTGGGTAGGTGGGGCTCGTCAACCATGAAAGGCAGCCCATCTAGGAGAAGGAAAACTCCGACTTCAAACCTCCACTGCCTTGGGGTTATATCCACTCACGGAAAAGGCTTCAGGAGTTAACGTTGAGGCAAAATCTGGAGCTGGAGTCCCGAAGGCAGTTCGTGTCATTCTGCCAACTCCTGCGACATTGCTGGAACCAGTTGTATTGGCGCTTGCCTTTCCATTCGACTATTTCACCAACGTGGAGAGGGGGGGATTTGCTGCTTGGGTAACAGCCTATCCTCCATATTACTTTACCCAGGCTTAGTGCTCTGGAGAGGTCACTCCAGCTTCGCATACAGCATTGAAGTAGCAGTTACCGGCTATAAGTCTTTGCTCAATTGGCGTAGAGCTTGACACCAGGGGCTACTTCTGACGGTGGGAGAGGTCATTATGCCTCACTAGGTAGCTACTGCCTGCTTTAAGCTAGGCAGCCCCCAGCCAGTAAAGTGCTACCTCACCATGGTCTGTTAACATCATGGGGTGTGTGGGGTTTAGGGTGAGAGCTAACAAGCAGATCGGTAACTCATAAGAAATCTTTTGCCCTAAAGTTGGGCACTTGGAATGTTCGGACAATGTCCCCTAGTTTTCCTGACAACAGCTTTTCTGACAACCTGCAGGAAATAGACGATGTATGCAAGACAGCTGTCATCGACATGAAACTGAGTAGACTGCAGATGGACATTGTTGCCCTGAAAGAGACGAGATTACCAGACGCAGGATCTGTCAAAGAAAAAAACTTTTCATTCTTCTGGCAGGGAAAACCATTGAATGAGACCAGGGGATATGGTGTTGGCTTTGCAGTCAGAAATACTCTGCTGAGATCCATTGTTCCACCTATTGTGGGGAGTGAAAGAATCCTGTCTCTGCAGCTCCACTCATCAGTGGGACCAGTCACCCTCATTAGTGCATATGCACCAACAATGTCGTCCACAACAGAAGCGAAAGACAAATTCTACGATGATCTGGCAGCTGCTATCAAAGAAGTCCCTGAGAGAGAGCCACTGTTCATTCTCAGAGACTTTAACACTAGAGTTGGTGCTCATCACAATTCTTGGCCCAATTGTCTAGGCCGTTTTGGCATTGGGAAGATGAACGAGAATGGCCAACGCTTGCTGGAATTTTGCTGTTATTATGGACTTTGTGTCAGCAACACATTCTTTAATACGAAGCTTCAACACAGAGTTTCCTGGAGACAAGCACTGGCATCAGCTTGATTTGTTCCTCACTAGATGTTCTAGTTAGAACTGGGTAAGGAACAACTGATTGGTTTAAAATTGGGAAAGGACTATGACAAGGCTGTATATTGACTCCCTGCTTATTTAACTTATAGGCAGAATACATCATGCGAAAGGCTGGACTGGAGGAATCCCAAGCCGGAATCAAGATTGCCAGAAGAAATATCAACAACCTCCGATATGCAGATGATACCACTCTGATGACAGAAAGTGAGGAGGAATTAAAGAACCCCGTAATGAAGGTGAAAAAGAAGAATGCAAAAAACAGTCTGAAGCTCAACATCAAAAAACCTAAGATCATGGCCACTGGTCCCATCACCTCCTGGGAAATAGAAGGGGAAGATATGGAGGCAGTGACAGATTTTACTTTCTTGGGCTCCACGATCACTGCAGATGGTGACAGCAGCCACGAAATTAAAGGATGCCTGCTTATTGGGAGGAAAGCAATGGCAAACTCCGACAGCATCTTAAAAAGCAGAGACATCACCTTGCCAACAAAAGTCAGAATAGTCAAACCTATGGTTTTTCCTGTAGTGATGTATGGAAGTGAGAGCTGGACCATAAAGAAAGCTGACCGCCGAAGAATTGATGCTTTTGAATTGTGGTGCTGGAGGAGGCTCTTGAGTGTCCCCTGGACTGCAATGAGAACAAGCCTATCAATTTTGGAGGAAATCAAACCCGAGTGCTCACTAGAAGGACAGATCCTGAAGCTGAGGCTCCAATACTTCGGTCATCTCATGAGAAGACTCCTTGGAAAAGACCTTGATGTCAGGAAAGTGTGAAGGCAAAAGGAGAAGGGGACGACAGAGGATGAGATGGTTAGACAGTGGCAAGAAGATGAACGTGACCAAGGTGCAAGCAAGTAAGTGGTGGTTTGAAAGAGAAGATATTCTAAATGGAAAAAACCATTGGAGGTTACTGGACGTTTGATGACTCCTCCCGCCTTTTTCTTTTTCTTCTCTTTTTTGCCTTTTTTAACACGGTAATTGGCTGTGGTTTTTATTTTTTAAGATTTTTCTTTTTTGTTTTCCCGGTGGGCTTTCCCCCCCCCCGGGGGGAAACTCTTTTGTTTGTTTTCCAAGTGGGTTTTCCCCCGCTTTTTTCACTTTGGGGGTTGGAGAAAGAAGGTGAAAAGATAATGGTTAAGGATAAATTATAAAACGGGAAGACATTAAAGGACTATATATATGGTACGGTGAAATAGGATGAGGATTTGGCTGGGACTTGGACTGGTATGGGTGATGTCTTCTCCCCTCCCACGTCAAACTTTAGTGAGGCGCAGGGAAATGGGAGGGAGGAAAAGAGTTTATATGTGGAGAGGGAAGTTAGGGATAGGATATTAGTTAGAGGAATAGGTGGATTTGGTTTTTTTAGGTGTTTTTGTCTTTACTGTTGTTTTGTGGGATGCACAACGGGGCCGAATAAAAGACAGAATATGGAATGGATATAGGGAAAAACTTAAGGGTAGCTATTTTAAATGTGAAAGGCCCAGGGACTGTAACAAAGAGAACAGAATCACTATTGAAGAAAACCAAGGTTGACATTATTTATCTATAAGAGACACACCAATTGAAGGATGGAGCTAATGAGTTGAAATTACGAAATATAAGCATTTATGAAAAAGGATTTGGGACTTCCAAATCTAAAGAGGTAGCAATATTAATATCTAAACATTGCGAATTTATGGTAAAAGTAATAAAAGATAGTAATGGTAGATATTTGATAATTCAGGGTCATAATAGTTATTCAAGGAATAATTTTATGTTAATATCGCAAAATTTAATTTCGAAAGTAGTAGATACAAATATTAATGTGATAAAGATAACGGATCATGCATTGATGGTGATGGAGATGAAAGTAAAGGACTACAGAGAAGCAAAGAGATGGAGAATACATTCCAATATTTTTAAGTATTCAGATGTAGTGGATAAAGTTAAGAAACAATGGTTGGAAATATGGTCAATTAATGAAGCAGGCGGGAATAAAATAGGAATGTTATGGGACACTATGAAATTAGTTATGAGAGGAATTGCTATAAGTGAATCCTGTAAAATAAAAAAATTGAGAGAAAATATAAGAAAAAATAGAAAAATCATTAAATGTTCTAGAAAGTAAATATTTTATAGATAGGGATAATAAAAAATTACTAGAGATTCAAGCGAAAAGAAAGGAATTACAAAGTGTGGAGTTAGAAAGGGTCCAGAGGGTCTTGATATATGCAAAAAGGAATTTTTTTGAATTTAGTAATAAAAATTCAAAGCTTTTAGCTAAAATAGTACGAATGAAAAGATCAAAAAATGCAATTGGAGTGATTAAAGATGAAACAGGAATTATAGTCTAATGAAGGAAAAATTAAAGATACTACAAGAATTCTATCCACATTTATATAAAGGGAACAGTGTATCAAAAGAAGATATAGAAAAGTATATTAATGAAAACGTTAAGAATAAACTATTAGAGAATGATAAAAGAGAATTAGAAAAAGAGATAGATGAAGAAATTATAGAGATGATTAATAAATTTAAAAACAGTAAAACTCCAGGTTTTCATGGAATGGGACCAGAATATATAAAACTTTTTAATCAATATTGATTCCTAAGTTTAAAATACTTTAAAAAGAGATATTGGAAGGACAGATAGATGAAGAAATTATAGAGATGATTAATAAATTTAAAAACAGTAAAACTCCAGGTTTTCATGGAATGGGACCAGAATATATAAAACTTTTTAATCAATATTGATTCCTAAGTTTAAA